GGGGAGTAGAAGATGTTGTTCCTGTCCTTCCTCAGCTGCCAGAACAGGTCAAGGGTGAACTTGGTGTTGGCCACACTGAGTGAACTCATGGCGACTGGTTGGTCGGGAACTCCTAGGAAAGCAGTGGATCCAGCTCAGAAGGACTTTATTGCCATGAAATTTTCTTTAAAAATGACTTATCTGGTTTGTGGGATTCTGGCCATTAAGGTTTTTACCCTTTTTACCTTCCAAGCCTTCTGAATGCACGTGTTCCTCTTCTAATTAGAAGACTCATGAAAGCACTATTGAAAAAGACTTTTGTGGACAAGTAATAGAACATCTTTATCTTTCCTGTGTCTTTCCCTTACCATTGGATGGCTAGGTTTGGGGGGAAAGGCTTTATTCCAAATGCCAGGACAAGGTTTTCTGGGGCCAACATGCAGCCAAATCTCCAGAAGAAACTCTCTGACTTTTCTTTGAAGCTCTGAGGCTGACCCCCCCCCCACCACCACCACATGATTGTAAGCATGCATCAGTTTTCTGGGAAATATGTCTTTTTAAGTAAAGACCAAATTAGGTCAAGGGGGTTTGTTAATTTTTTCCCCTGGCAGAACAAGTACAATATAATAAGACAAAGTACATGCATGATAGAAACCACATCACTGTTTTGATCCTGGATAGTAATTCCTGCTAAGCCGTAGTGGCTGGAAGCACTCACCTGTGTTCCTGAAGAAGCCGAGCTGGATGGGAGCTGTGAGCCTTGATGTGGTGGACGGAAGATCCTGGGTATATAGTCCTCCTCCTGCAAACGCTGCCTCATCAATTCAGTTGTCTTTCAAATAAATCAACTTCAGAATTCTCAATCAGCTTAGTCCACACTTCCTGAACCTGACAACTTATGAGAAAAGACAGGTTAGAACAGTAACCTGTGTTTCCTTTTTCGTTTTATGGGGACAGTTAAGAATCTGTAATCTTTGGCAATCATTGACTCATTTTGAATGCATGCAAAGGTGCTTTTCTAATACCAATGACGTTGTATTAGATATCCCAACTTCCTCATTTTCTTCGATTCCATCCTCTGTACATTTCCTCCATCTTAAAAAACAATCTTTTTTTTTCTTTTGATGTTGAATTGTTTTTAAGGTACACTTTGGACACACAAACACCTACAATGTTTACTTATATTTGTGATTTTTCAATTCTGAAAGGCTCCACTCATCCTTTCTGTAGGAATCACTTTATATACCCAGGAAAATCGATCTTATTTGAGTGCAAAGAGGCACTGGGGAGATCTCTGCAGACTCGGGAACAGGGTCCTACCCTCATGCTCATTCCAGACCCTCATGCTCTGCCTTGTCCCTGGTTCTCCCTGTCTCTTCCCATGTCCCCTGCAGCCATCCTGACTTTTCTGATGCTTGAGGTCTGTGAGGACACTTATTTGCCTTGCTACATTGACAATCAGCTGACACTAAGAACGATAGAAACAAACAGAGGCTGTTTTGAACAGCAGTCTTCTAGTTTCTCACATACAGTCAAACAGAAAAATAACTTGTTTCGGGTGTCATGATCAGACTATAGCTCTGTCCCCCCTTCCCTACTTGACCCCCCCCCTGGAAGTTAGCACACTGGCTTCACACTCATGGGCTGGATGCCAGGTGGAATACCTGTCAGAAATACCAGGTGGAGGTGTCCTTTGGATGCTGTTGTTATGTGCATTTTCCTCTGGAGCCTCGTCCTCTGCAGATGCGTGGGGTTCCTGCAAGCAGACTAACGTCGATGATGGCTGGCTTTTGTTGGGTCAGAAGGTATTTTCACTTACACCTTACAACTCAGGAACGTAGGTCCATTTGCTATCCCCATTTCATGCTGACAAACTGAGACAACTGTTGGACTAAGTTACGTAGCTAGTGAATTGCACAGGTGAGATTTGAAGGCAGGCAGTCTGGCTGAGGAACCACATTCGTCCATCGTCCATCGCATAGGAGCTAGGAGAGAATGGTGGGGTACATCCTGAGACCACCAGGAACATGGCATGTGGGGAAATGAGTGGTGATGGAAAAATGATTTCCTTTGAGTGTGGAGCTCAGAGAGACAATAAATTCCTGCTCAATTGTGTTAATCGGTTTTTCATCCCTATAATGAAATATTTGACACAGGCTACTTATGGGCTAGGGGAGTTTCTAATGGCTTATAGTTCTAAAGATCCAAGCCCCAGGTAGGTTGGCACATTTGTTTGGGCCTCTGGAGAGGGCAGAACATCACTATAGGGACACGTGTTAGAGAAGATCACTCACCTTGTAAGTTGGGATGTAGAGAGAGAAAGAGACTGGGGTCCCTCTGATTTGCCTGTTTTAAATGTTGCATATAAATGGAATCAGGCAATATTTGTCCTCTGGTGACTGACTTCTTCCACTTGGTATGTTTTCAAGGTT